CGCTGTGTGCATCCCTTGTTGAAATTTGTCCAAAGTTTGCTTCCGATAAGTGATATAGAAAACTGAACAAAATTCAGGTTATGCTAGCCTCGGAGGCGCTACGCAATTTGGAATAATACGGCGTAAACATAACGATGTTCTGAAGATGTTACCTCATGTCTGTTCAAGGTCTTATAAAAAGGTGAAACTTTTCAAATATTCGCCTGCCCTTTGTGATCATTACAGCTTCGCCGCAGAAATTACTATTCTTGGTTCTCTGATATGATTTTTTTGATTTTGTTAAGGCTGGTGAACTAGTAGTGAAAAATTCCTTTTTTGCTCTGGAGCGAGAGAAGATTAAGCAGGCGTTCATCTTATGGTTAGAGGAAAACCCACTTCTGCAAGAGAACTTGATCAAGGTCGCTCTTATGGCTCCTACTGTTTATAGACTATTAACAAAAATTAACGAAAAGACTCATTTTCAGAGCTACATTGGTGAATTTTGGCGAGTGTGTATGACGACTATTATGAACAATATAGAACTCCCTTCACAACTAAAGAACGGCCTCAGCAAAAAGTCACTAGTGTAAGTTAAACTCGCCTATTCTCTATATAGAGAGCTAGATCTTCTGGTAGCACAAAAGTCAGCACAGTATTTCTTAGCTAGTTGACATGATACACCACAACAGACAAGTTGGACCAACTAGCTTTTGTTCCAAATGCCGCATGCGCGCGGCTCTGCTTGTTTCTTGCTGTTTTGCTTGGTGTACGGACAACTTGATTCAAATCCCTTTGAATGCGTCGTTCTTGTGCTTTTTTTGCACCCTCTCTTCTAAGTGGCATTCTGTGATCATTGTGACCCCACACACTCCAGGTCTTCACGCACGAGAAGTGGCCTATCCACTTGAGAGTACTTTCCCTCACGTATCCCAGCTCGCCACATATATCTTGCACATTTCGTTGCCTTGGCAGCCTATCCTCTCTCTGTCTGCATTACATGTTTTCGCTAAGTACCGTGCCCAAAGGTCTACGACAGCAAAACGTAAACCCCTTCATTGGCGCCAACTTTCTGTTTTTCTTTGAGCAGTCTGGCGCTAAAATATTTTGTCAGGTTAACTCATGAGGAATGCTTGGTTGGACGATGAAGTGACTCGGATCCCGTGAACTAGACTTGTTCCATTTAAAGACAGCCCCCGCGCTCGAGTAGTACATGGTCGTCCTTCCTTGTGCAAGTAGTACAGCCCCAAGCTAGAGACTGTCCCACTCTATTCGTCTGCACAGCGAGCGAGAAGCGAGCTACAGCCGCTGTAAGTTCTAGTTCTAACGCCTGCTCAGTTGGACCGCCTTACTTGCTAGATGTCCTCCGACGGAGGCCACTCAGTTGTTCTTAGTTGGGGCGGCGGGCATTGCTAATGCCCATGGATAATTCTGCTCCCCTTTATTACAGTTTACTCATTGGAGGTATATACATTCAATTCAACTCATTTCGCGAGGTGAAACGCGTAAAAAGCACGAGTGACGCAATTTTCGTGATGCAAAACCTCGACGCACAAAACGTGCGCTACCGTAATCCCAAATTCAGACACCGCGTTGATAAAATTCCTTTTTCCTTCCAAGAGTTTTCCTCTGCGTTTTTGTTGTTTTCTTTTTGTATTCTTTTTTTTTGCACTGGATGATATCAACTACTGCGAGATGTGACAGAGAGATTTGTGAGCTAAGGGTTGCACAGAGACCGCAGCGAAGTGTGTCTGTGTG